ATACGTTCCAATTTATTAGGAATCCGATTTCTTACAAGTCGTTCCAATCACAGCCCGACACGTGTCAAGTTTACGGACTACGGCTGATTGAAAGGTTTTCTTCCATAAAATTAATCGATTCTACACTAATCCGACTCAACATTTCCAAAATACGTATATTTTTTCGTAGTTTTATAGGAATCGTAATTATAGGGACCGTAATTATAGGGGGGGGTCGACTGTAGTGTCAATTACTACTCTTAATATCTGTTATCATATCAATGTTTGACTTTAGATGTCAAACACTGAATAAACTTTGTCAATTATTGGTTTTCTTATTATTAAGATATTTCCTTCTGGTTTCATTCTAGATTTTCTTATATCCAACTGGTAATTATGCCTACTATCTTATATAGTTGACAGGTGGGTGAATGGGGCCATCTGTCACTTGTGTTCTACTAAGACATAAGATAGCATTTGATCCAGGAGGATCCTTTTAAAATGATTCCTGACATTAAACAAATATGATTTCTTCAGTTTTATATTTTTTTCAAACAGCAGTAGCAGAAAATTTGTCTAAAAGAGGGAGTTTTCTGCAAAAAGTGATATTTTTAAAATAAACTGTGAGATAATAGATTTTGGACTTTGGATTCAGTAAACTGAAACAATCACATTTTCTTTCAAGGGAGGATTTTGATGCAGAACAGTGTTATAGAATATGAAACATTTTCTTTAATTGGAAAATATTGCAATGCCATTAGAAAATTAAATAAAAAATGCTCCAACAAAATTTCTTGGCAGTGATCCAAAAGTAGAAATACAAGTATACCTCGAGTTATGTCGTTTCGAGTTATGTGGTTCTCGATTACACATCGTTTGTCAAAAAATATATGGAAAAATAAAAATGAAGTTTAAGTCATTTTATTTGACTTTACATCCGTTTGCCACAAATATTCAAGTTGTAATATCACTAAAAAAGCGTTAAAGCACATAAAATCATATTAAAATATGTACATTTACATTAAATGTTAATATAATCATCATAAATCCTAGAGAACGAAACATTGACAACACAAACACAGATGTTTTGTCTTATTTAGCGGTCTTTAATGCTCAGTATTGGTGCTTTCCACGGTAGCTCCAATATCTACCGTTTGGCGTCATCGTCAGAACCACTCAATATTGGTAAATTTAATATAAATTATTAAAATTATCTTGCGACAGTAGAAAATAAACTAACTGTATTTGTTATTTAATCTTACAAAATCATCTTATTTTATAATGTCTTAGAGCAAACCATATTCACAAATAAAGATGTACCGTAAACATTGCCAAATTGTAAACATGTACATTTACAAGTATGTACATATTGTACGTACACGAATTCATAAATTTAATTATTTTTTCTGTACTATATTAAAAATTAAAATTTGTTTGTTTGTAAGCTTAAAATAGATTCTTATTAACCATATATTATTAAAAATGCATTTATAAATAAAATACAGAACTGAGAATGGTTATTTGTGGTTTAGCCTAGTGACAAGTAAATTCGACTTACTTCATTTTTCGACTTAAGTCACCTCTCCTGGAACCAATTACCAACACAAGGCGAGGTATACCTGTATCCCCATTTCAAAGTTTTACTGGGTGAGCAGACTTAAAAAACAACTTTTTGTAAATGATAGGAGTCTAATGTTTTGTAGTTTGAACTTCAATGCTAGGATTTTGCAAGTACCGAACCTAAGTATTATCCAATAATATGCTTTTTGATTAATCCAGATGGCATAAAATCATTAATAATGTGCGTGTTGTTTTATGTTAATATACTATTGCATTTAATGACAGATTTTTACCAAACAGCATTCAAAACAACCAGGACTAGCCCACAATACTGCCAGACCTTTTTTGTACAAATTATCTTTGGGTACAAATTTTTGCTGGATCTTATAATTGTAAAATCCCTAAAAGTATAGTTTTTGTTTGTTTATTTTACATTTAATCGGAACTGTTGACAGACAATGGATTTCCACCCCCTATATAACAAAATTTACCCAAGATTACAATATAGCTTTTATAGCTGTGTATCAAGGTTCAAGGCGCATTACTTACTTACAAATTCTATTATTACATTTTACATTTGGTATGATGAATCAAGCTTAATTTTGTAATCTTTCCAAATTCATTAATCAAAATGTTTGCATGCAACAGAACAAGGTTAAAGAAAATTATAGTGAGAGAACTATTTTGATGAAATGTCAACCTTTTTCTTTATTTTTTGAATAATAAACTATGACTAAACAAACAATTTACAATAGTTATAATCCATTAAAACTATTCTGAATAATATCCAGTAGTGAGGTCAAAATTATCATCTTAACAATAATTGATCAAAATGATTTCTTTTTGCAAATTTGTTAAGTTTTGGATCAGTTTAATATCATGTAATTAAGAAGTCAAAAATATTTTTTGAAACAGTGATGCAAATCCTAATATTTGCTTTTCAGATCGTGCAATTGTTATTTAATAAATAAGTATTCTCTTTTGAATACAGCTAAATTTGACTAAATTTTGAGAATAATGTTTGTATGGGCAAAAGTTGAATTATTTTTGAACTTGTGATCCTAAGGGAAATTTCTGTCAAAAATTTTCTGCACTGTTCTCCAACTACAATTTCTTTATAATATAGGCCTGCTCGGAAACTTTCAGTTGGATTTAACCTCTTGTGTTTGGCAAAATGGTGATGTTTTAGTTTAGCTCTTTTTGCACTTTGAACAGAAGCTAGCTTTACTATACGATACTATAAGTTTGCTGTAGAATTCTTTTGAGTTATATTGGTAAATACGAGTGATGGTAATTATTTGAGTGAAAAATGTGTAATTTACACCTTACTGATGAGAGGCCAATGTCCAACTTAGAGAATGAGAGGGGTGGTCGTCAATATTCAGCATAACGGTGGGCAGACATTTAAATTGCTGCCAGAAGCATTGCTTTAAGTCTGATAAGGGATGTAGGTGATCCTTTTACATTTTGACTGTGAAAGGACCACCTACTGTGTTTACTTCTGAAACTCCCAATCTCCTCCTACATGAGGAGAGTGGGAGTTTCAGAAGTAAACACAGTATCTGCCAATATTAATCCATACCCGGAGGATACTTGGTTGAAGTTTGCACCATAATTTTCAGCACATTGGAGAATCCAATCTATATTTTTGGTATAGAGTTGTGGATACTGGAAGTTAAGATTAATTTAATGGCAAAGGGTACTAATTTGGGAAAAGAATAACAGTAGTAGTTTAAAATATGCAGAATGCCATTTGATCTCTCACTAACTTTTCCTGTTCTTACATTTCAGAACTGAGAAGAGAAAATGGCAGAATTGGACGAACGGCTGTGCCGGTTACAAAATGAATTCAAAAAATTGAGAGTCGACTCCGGAGGGTAAGTGGACCCGACGTTGATCGGACGCAATTGCCCGGGCTGACGTGCGAACTTTCCGCCTTTTCCAGGGCCAGAAGACACGGAAAGTCGCCCAAGTACGGTGCCTCGACCAGACATGGGGCCAAGGACTGCGTCCCCAACAAGACGTCGAGAAGTGCAGCCCTTCGACACCTTGCTTGCCCCGAAGCCGTCCACCGTCTCTTTCAGATTCCGGACCGTCCTACCCGGACAGACGGAGGTGCCACACACACGGGTTTTGGGAGGGAGGAAGGGAGGCCATCCAGTGGCCCGTCGGGAGCCGAGACGTCGGACGGAGGAGAAAAGAGTCGTGAGCTGACATGTTCTCGACAGGCAAGAATGGACGATGTCACTGTCGACGAATTGGCAGGATATTTCGACAATCTGGTATACATCCCGCGTAAGATGTCACACATGGCAGAGATGATGTACACGTAGAAACTGGTCCCGAGGAAATTTACAAAAAACTCTTTATTTGGAAATACATCTGTATTACAATCGTCGATAGCAATAAAATGACAATTTAAATCACCTTTCTTAAAAAATTCTATAAAGTGCCGACGACAGTTCGCTCTCCGGGTTAGCGTAGAAGGCACCTCGGATAACATAAAGAGCAATAAATTAGGACATTGTGGGCGCACGCGTGGACAAAAATACTTCTTAAGTACCATTCGTTAGTAAAGTTAAAAAAAATAGTTTTTCGGAAGGAGGCCGAACTTTTTTTTTTTTTTTTGTTTAGTAAAAAAGAACACGGGCGCTTTTGGTCCTCTGTCGACATCGGGGAAGGGAGCGTCAGAACTCTTCGGCATCCCGGTAACTGGGTTCGGTGGAGACAAAATAGTCGTCGAAGTGTCCAAAGAGGAATTCAAAGGTGGGTCGCTTTTCCGGATCTCCGTCCCAACACTGCAGCATGACCGCATAGACAGAGTCCGGACACTCACAGTTGTTGGGCTTGGGCATCCTGTATCCTCTTTCTACCTGTTCGATCACTTCTCTGTTGTGCATGCCTATAGTTTTGAAAATTTCCTTGGTTAGTCAGCAAGAGGACTGAGAGAAAACGAGGACACCACACTCACCTGGATATGGAACCTGTCCATGGGTGACCAGCTCATACAGGAGGATGCCATAGGACCAGATGTCTGACTTGATGGAGAACTTACCATACAGGGCCGCTTCCGGTGCAGTCCACTTGATGGGGAACTTGGCACCTGAAAGGACACCGACAAATAATACCCACTTAGTTTCCAACCCAATTGTAAATTATTTGCAAAGACAATCAACTTTGAGGGTCAAGACAAAGGGAAATCTTTATTTCCCATGAAACAAAACAAGAATACTTATCACATATACAAGGTGGAAAACATCTTTCCTTCCTTGTATAAAAATTATACAAAATTTTTGGTGGCTATCATTCGATAAATAAGAACGAAACTGATGTGTCTGCAACACCTGTTTCTCCAGAATATTTTTGTAGGACTGATATCTGCTGTTCAGTCCATTTATCCTTTTCTGATCTTATTTTAGTACGACTGCACCTTTATCAATAGCATCAACAACTTTTAATCAATCAAATGTAATACAAGTGTAGTCAATCCTCCCTCTGCGAAAATTAGCACATACCCCCTGCAGATCCGAATAAATGTCGGCACAGGAAAGGTAAGTTGGTTCTCAAATTCCCAAATAGGTAAAAAATAAAAATACAATTAATATAGTAAAACCTCAATTTAACTGACTAATTTGGGCAAGGAGGTGTCTATAGGTTTTCCAAATGTGCATGTTAAAATAACTAATTTTTTGATTTTATTTATGTAGAACATTATACCTAATTTTATTACACAAAAAATACAGAAGAACCTTGACAGGATGGAAAGGAAGACAAAACTTGGTTTCAGGAACCAATCAGCAAAAGGTGGCAAAAAGGTGTACTTTCTTTAAATCTGTTTGCTTGGTGCAATTTTGGAAAAAATATATCATGGATGCCATATGAAATATCGACTTCGCTTCGCAAGAATTAACTGATAAATGCACGAACGAAGTGTGGAAGAAGTTATAGCTGAAGGTATCCAAAAATTCTGAACAGAAGAGTCTACTGCTGTATTGTTAAGTTGACCAAATTGTCAACCTAATCAATACAGAAAGACTAGGAGGATATTGAGGAGTTACAGCAGGTTTCTGGTGACAACCTTACCAACAAGGAATTCACATAGAACTGGAAAATAGTGATTATGAAAACGAAGAACCCAAAAAATTTCACTACAGATTTCTTTAGTAAAAGTCTGATAATGATAAATGAAATCGTTGATCAAATTGTAGCGAATGATCCAGATTTTGAAAGGAGTGAAAAAGCAAAACAAAGCATTTCGGATGCAATCTTCCACTACTGACATTTGCTTAAGGATAAAAAAAAAAGCAACAAATGAAACTACACAACTTTATGGCAAAAAACCAGGACCTTCTTCACAAAAATAACACAAACATGTGAAGTTCATCTAAATATATAAAATCACTTGTCCTGACTGACTGATTCATTGTCGCCCAGAGCAAACCACTGAACCTAGAGGTGAAATTTGGTACGCAGTCAGGGTACGTCATGAAAATGCACACTAAGGGATTTTTCGAAATTCTCCCACTGGGGAGAGCACTAAGTCTTAGTACAGTAGAAGCCGTTCTTCCGGTTAAGACTTAATGCTCCCCCGCAGGGGAATTTCGAAAAATTCCTTCTTAATGTGCATTCTCATGGCATACCCTACTACAATGCAGATAAAAACAAAAAATCGCATAACCAGAAGAACAGCTTCTACTGTACTATCTTAGATGCGATATTTTGTTATCATCTTCATTGTAGTAGGGTATGCCATGAGAATGCACATTAATTAAGAAGGAATTTTTTGAATTGATAACATTTCGGACATTGTTATAAATATTTTCATATATTTTGATTTTTTAACCAATATTCAATCTGTTTTAAATTCGAACTTGTTATTGCATATTGGTTTGATTATAGAATGATTGTTAACGTTCCAGAAAACAGTTCATTTGATTCTCAGCGGTAGGTGTTATATAACAATTACTATGGTTGTTGAAATACTGCCTGCGGTGGTTTTACAAGCAAACCATATTTATATTCAAAGTCATGGGTAGCAGCTACTTCTAACATATTTTTATATTAATTTGCATAATAATATAACTTAAAATTTGTTTATTTTTGGTTGCGTGTTCCCCTATCCCTATTTACTCTATGTTAAAATGACCTCATTTAACACTGTTTCATTTAGTGCTTTGTCATCTAGGAACATGTCCCCGCATTAAGCGGGGTCTTACTGTACTTTGAACAAATGTTAAAATAAAGTATTAAGGTATATTGATGAAACATGAAATTATAAACTAAAGTATAAGTTAGGAGTTCATGGAAAACTTTTTGACTATAAATTTCCAAGCTGATGATATCCTTCTGCATCCCTTGCATTTATGCATGCCTCTTCCAGTTTGCTCTTGTAAATTAGAATTTTCTCAGCACTCCTTGCCGATGTTGGGAAGCTCAAGGGTTTGACAATATCCGCTTTATCCCAATTTACTATCAAGCGTTTGGTCTATACCATCTGGGAAAGTACTGTTGTGTTGAAATCTTTTCTGACATTACTTGTGTTCTTTAAGCCTTACTCCCAAATTCCTTGTTGTGAAATGAATATATTCTTTCTTGATTCCTAGTTTTACTTTTTCATAAGGAATCTTGTATACCCCTACTTTTTCTTCTTTTTTAATCTTATCTTTGTCATTCCTTAAAATTGAAGAATGGTTCTGAAAGAGCTCCAAACCTATATACAATATAGTATGGAATATAGGAGTGTGAAGAGGAGAAGATCAAGAGAATTAACTTTGATTGCAAATAATTTGGGAAGATCTTGTTTGTCAATATCAAAATATCTCAATAATAAGGATAGAAGAATGGGAAAACGAGATGGTCCGACATGCGAGTTTGATGCCAGCGTGAGAATGATTTGCACTGCAAGGAGTGACTACAGTAGAGCGTCGTTTATCCGAAACATCTGTTATCTGAAAGAATTCCAGTCGACAAATTTAAATTTTTGCCAGTGCTGTGGTGCTGCAATCTTTGGCTGTGTCTTCAGCTACTCAAATATTTTACGTTTTTGATACTAAATTAACTTCTGAAGTATAATTTTTTATTGTTTTTATATTTTTCAATATATTTATTTTGTTTGTACAAAATAAAAAAATAATTTTTAACGATANTCTGGAGTTCACCTCGTTCGTCTTCACTTGACGTTCGGTTTTTATACTGTGAGGTGACATCACAATTCTGAATGAGATCACTCCCCTCATTTACATACTTATTCACTAACAATAAAAACTTTTCTATTTGTCTGGCAGCCTATTTTTCGACAATACTCGCTAACCTTTTACATTATTCTTTGACAATTTTCGGGATGTTTTATTCTTTTAAGTTTCGAATTTAAGTTGTGCGTGTGGGGTCTTCTCCCCCCCGTTCTCGGTGCGGACTTACTTTTTTCCGCTTGGGAACGCAAGTGTTCGTGAGTTTTTTCTATGGTGCTTTTCTCTCATTGGTGAGTTGGTTTCTTCTATTTTTAAGTTTGTAAGGTGAATGGTGAGGAAACCTTCGTCCTAACAAAACATAAGCCCAAACAAAAATATAATAAAAAGCAAAATAAAAGTAAATAAAAATAATGCTCGGACTTGGTTCCTTACAAGGTTCAATTATGTTAGGCAATTTACTCATTCAGTGCAACTACTTCTGATAGTAAATACATTTGATTATTCGATTGTGGTAGTAAAGTTGAAAACTGGGCTACTTTTGTCACTACTCACTTGCAAGTATACTCTCCAAATAAGAAACTGTATAATCAGGTGCAGCAAGTAGCACAGACAATAGATTTATACCAAAATGGCTAGTGGTGGAATTTTAGCCATCACGTGCATTTTGAGAAATGTGCTTCAAGAGGATACGGAATAAAAAAGCACAAAGGCAACTTTTTCAAGAAATCTAATAAACATTATCTTTTTATTAAGGAATTTAAATTCTTTCAGAATTGCATATAGGATAACAGCATCAATGTTTGACAAATACCACTAAAATTCCTAGTAAATGATGCTTTATATTTAATTTAGTACAGCTAATACAGTATAGTGTTACTTTTTAGTACTGCTAAGTGATTTGATGTAGTTCATCAATGTAGTTTTTGAACATTAGAGAGAGAGATGTGGTAGAAGTCATTTTAGTCAAGGCTTATGTGTGAAGCTAGAAAAGCTTTAATTTTTTTGTTAATGAGCAAAACAGAGAAAATCCATTTATATTTAATTGGGGTTCAGTGTTTTTTAATTATGTTTTAGTTTATTTCCATAATTTAAGTAGTGAAAAGTTATTAAAAAATACTGCCTAAAGCTACAAATAACTATTTAAGGCAAAAGCATATACAGTCGACCCCCCTATAAGATATAGATACGTTCCAATTTATTAGGAATCCGATTTTTTACAAGTCATTCCAATCACAGCCCGACACGTGTCAAGTTTACGGACTACGGCTGATTGAAAGGTTTTCTTCCATAAAATTAATCGATTCTACACTAATCCGACTCAACATTTCCAAAATACGTATATTTTTTCGTAGTTTTATAGGAATCGTAATTATAGGGACCGTAATTATAGGGGGGGGTCGACTGTAGTGTCAATTACTACTCTTAATATCTGTTATCATATCAATGTTTGACTTTAGATGTCAAACACTGAATAAACTTTGTCAATTATTGGTTTTCTTATTATTAAGATATTTCCTTCTGGTTTCATTCTAGATTTTCTTATATCCAACTGGTAATTATGCCTACTATCTTATATAGTTGACAGGTGGGTGAATGGGGCCATCTGTCACTTGTGTTCTACTAAGACATAAGATAGCATTTGATCCAGGAGGATCCTTTTAAAATGATTCCTGACATTAAACAAATATGATTTCTTCAGTTTTATATTTTTTTCAAACAGCAGTAGCAGAAAATTTGTCTAAAAGAGGGAGTTTTCTGCAAAAAGTGATATTTTTAAAATAAACTGTGAGATAATAGATTTTGGACTTTGGATTCAGTAAACTGAAACAATCACATTTTCTTTCAAGGGAGGATTTTGATGCAGAACAGTGTTATAGAATATGAAACATTTTCTTTAATTGGAAAATATTGCAATGCCATTAGAAAATTAAATAAAAAATGCTCCAACAAAATTTCTTGGCAGTGATCCAAAAGTAGAAATACAAGTATACCTCGAGTTATGTCGTTTCGAGTTATGTGGTTCTCGATTACACATCGTTTGTCAAAAAATATATGGAAAAATAAAAATGAAGTTTAAGTCATTTTATTTGACTTTACATCCGTTTGCCACAAATATTCAAGTTGTAATATCACTAAAAAAGCGTTAAAGCACATAAAATCATATTAAAATATGTACATTTACATTAAATGTTAATATAATCATCATAAATCCTAGAGAACGAAACATTGACAACACAAACACAGATGTTTTGTCTTATTTAGCGGTCTTTAATGCTCAGTATTGGTGCTTTCCACGGTAGCTCCAATATCTACCGTTTGGCGTCATCGTCAGAACCACTCAATATTGGTAAATTTAATATAAATTATTAAAATTATCTTGCGACAGTAGAAAATAAACTAACTGTATTTGTTATTTAATCTTACAAAATCATCTTATTTTATAATGTCTTAGAGCAAACCATATTCACAAATAAAGATGTACCGTAAACATTGCCAAATTGTAAACATGTACATTTACAAGTATGTACATATTGTACGTACACGAATTCATAAATTTAATTATTTTTTCTGTACTATATTAAAAATTAAAATTTGTTTGTTTGTAAGCTTAAAATAGATTCTTATTAACCATATATTATTAAAAATGCATTTATAAATAAAATACAGAACTGAGAATGGTTATTTGTGGTTTAGCCTAGTGACAAGTAAATTCGACTTACTTCATTTTTCGACTTAAGTCACCTCTCCTGGAACCAATTACCAACACAAGGCGAGGTATACCTGTATCCCCATTTCAAAGTTTTACTGGGTGAGCAGACTTAAAAAACAACTTTTTGTAAATGATAGGAGTCTAATGTTTTGTAGTTTGAACTTCAATGCTAGGATTTTGCAAGTACCGAACCTAAGTATTATCCAATAATATGCTTTTTGATTAATCCAGATGGCATAAAATCATTAATAATGTGCGTGTTGTTTTATGTTAATATACTATTGCATTTAATGACAGATTTTTACCAAACAGCATTCAAAACAACCAGGACTAGCCCACAATACTGCCAGACCTTTTTTGTACAAATTATCTTTGGGTACAAATTTTTGCTGGATCTTATAATTGTAAAATCCCTAAAAGTATAGTTTTTGTTTGTTTATTTTACATTTAATCGGAACTGTTGACAGACAATGGATTTCCACCCCCTATATAACAAAATTTACCCAAGATTACAATATAGCTTTTATAGCTGTGTATCAAGGTTCAAGGCGCATTACTTACTTACAAATTCTATTATTACATTTTACATTTGGTATGATGAATCAAGCTTAATTTTGTAATCTTTCCAAATTCATTAATCAAAATGTTTGCATGCAACAGAACAAGGTTAAAGAAAATTATAGTGAGAGAACTATTTTGATGAAATGTCAACCTTTTTCTTTATTTTTTGAATAATAAACTATGACTAAACAAACAATTTACAATAGTTATAATCCATTAAAACTATTCTGAATAATATCCAGTAGTGAGGTCAAAATTATCATCTTAACAATAATTGATCAAAATGATTTCTTTTTGCAAATTTGTTAAGTTTTGGATCAGTTTAATATCATGTAATTAAGAAGTCAAAAATATTTTTTGAAACAGTGATGCAAATCCTAATATTTGCTTTTCAGATCGTGCAATTGTTATTTAATAAATAAGTATTCTCTTTTGAATACAGCTAAATTTGACTAAATTTTGAGAATAATGTTTGTATGGGCAAAAGTTGAATTATTTTTGAACTTGTGATCCTAAGGGAAATTTCTGTCAAAAATTTTCTGCACTGTTCTCCAACTACAATTTCTTTATAATATAGGCCTGCTCGGAAACTTTCAGTTGGATTTAACCTCTTGTGTTTGGCAAAATGGTGATGTTTTAGTTTAGCTCTTTTTGCACTTTGAACAGAAGCTAGCTTTACTATACGATACTATAAGTTTGCTGTAGAATTCTTTTGAGTTATATTGGTAAATACGAGTGATGGTAATTATTTGAGTGAAAAATGTGTAATTTACACCTTACTGATGAGAGGCCAATGTCCAACTTAGAGAATGAGAGGGGTGGTCGTCAATATTCAGCATAACGGTGGGCAGACATTTAAATTGCTGCCAGAAGCATTGCTTTAAGTCTGATAAGGGATGTAGGTGATCCTTTTACATTTTGACTGTGAAAGGACCACCTACTGTGTTTACTTCTGAAACTCCCAATCTCCTCCTACATGAGGAGAGTGGGAGTTTCAGAAGTAAACACAGTATCTGCCAATATTAATCCATACCCGGAGGATACTTGGTTGAAGTTTGCACCATAATTTTCAGCACATTGGAGAATCCAATCTATATTTTTGGTATAGAGTTGTGGATACTGGAAGTTAAGATTAATTTAATGGCAAAGGGTACTAATTTGGGAAAAGAATAACAGTAGTAGTTTAAAATATGCAGAATGCCATTTGATCTCTCACTAACTTTTCCTGTTCTTACATTTCAGAACTGAGAAGAGAAAATGGCAGAATTGGACGAACGGCTGTGCCGGTTACAAAATGAATTCAAAAAATTGAGAGTCGACTCCGGAGGGTAAGTGGACCCGACGTTGATCGGACGCAATTGCCCGGGCTGACGTGCGAACTTTCCGCCTTTTCCAGGGCCAGAAGACACGGAAAGTCGCCCAAGTACGGTGCCTCGACCAGACATGGGGCCAAGGACTGCGTCCCCAACAAGACGTCGAGAAGTGCAGCCCTTCGACACCTTGCTTGCCCCGAAGCCGTCCACCGTCTCTTTCAGATTCCGGACCGTCCTACCCGGACAGACGGAGGTGCCACACACACGGGTTTTGGGAGGGAGGAAGGGAGGCCATCCAGTGGCCCGTCGGGAGCCGAGACGTCGGACGGAGGAGAAAAGAGTCGTGAGCTGACATGTTCTCGACAGGCAAGAATGGACGATGTCACTGTCGACGAATTGGCAGGATATTTCGACAATCTGGTATACATCCCGCGTAAGATGTCACACATGGCAGAGATGATGTACACGTAGAAACTGGTCCCGAGGAAATTTACAAAAAACTCTTTATTTGGAAATACATCTGTATTACAATCGTCGATAGCAATAAAATGACAATTTAAATCACCTTTCTTAAAAAATTCTATAAAGTGCCGACGACAGTTCGCTCTCCGGGTTAGCGTAGAAGGCACCTCGGATAACATAAAGAGCAATAAATTAGGACATTGTGGGCGCACGCGTGGACAAAAATACTTCTTAAGTACCATTCGTTAGTAAAGTTAAAAAAAATAGTTTTTCGGAAGGAGGCCGAACTTTTTTTTTTTTTTTTTTTTAGTAAAAAAGAACACGGGCGCTTTTGGTCCTCTGTCGACATCGGGGAAGGGAGCGTCAGAACTCTTCGGCATCCCGGTAACTGGGTTCGGTGGAGACAAAATAGTCGTCGAAGTGTCCAAAGAGGAATTCAAAGGTGGGTCGCTTTTCCGGATCTCCGTCCCAACACTGCAGCATGACCGCATAGACAGAGTCCGGACACTCACAGTTGTTGGGCTTGGGCATCCTGTATCCTCTTTCTACCTGTTCGATCACTTCTCTGTTGTGCATGCCTATAGTTTTGAAAATTTCCTTGGTTAGTCAGCAAGAGGACTGAGAGAAAACGAGGACACCACACTCACCTGGATATGGAACCTGTCCATGGGTGACCAGCTCATACAGGAGGATGCCATAGGACCAGATGTCTGACTTGATGGAGAACTTACCATACAGGGCCGCTTCCGGTGCAGTCCACTTGATGGGGAACTTGGCACCTGAAAGGACACCGACAAATAATACCCACTTAGTTTCCAACCCAATTGTAAATTATTTGCAAAGACAATCAACTTTGAGGGTCAAGACAAAGGGAAATCTTTATTTCCCATGAAACAAAACAAGAATACTTATCACATATACAAGGTGGAAAACATCTTTCCTTCCTTGTATAAAAATTATACAAAATTTTTGGTGGCTATCATTCGATAAATAAGAACGAAACTGATGTGTCTGCAACACCTGTTTCTCCAGAATATTTTTGTAGGACTGATATCTGCTGTTCAGTCCATTTATCCTTTTCTGATCTTATTTTAGTACGACTGCACCTTTATCAATAGCATCAACAACTTTTAATCAATCAAATGTAATACAAGTGTAGTCAATCCTCCCTCTGCGAAAATTAGCACATACCCCCTGCAGATCCGAATAAATGTCGGCACAGGAAAGGTAAGTTGGTTCTCAAATTCCCAAATAGGTAAAAAATAAAAATACAATTAATATAGTAAAACCTCAATTTAACTGACTAATTTGGGCAAGGAGGTGTCTATAGGTTTTCCAAATGTGCATGTTAAAATAACTAATTTTTTGATTTTATTTATGTAGAACATTATACCTAATTTTATTACACAAAAAATACAGAAGAACCTTGACAGGATGGAAAGGAAGACAAAACTTGGTTTCAGGAACCAATCAGCAAAAGGTGGCAAAAAGGTGTACTTTCTTTAAATCTGTTTGCTTGGTGCAATTTTGGAAAAAATATATCATGGATGCCATATGAAATATCGACTTCGCTTCGCAAGAATTAACTGATAAATGCACGAACGAAGTGTGGAAGAAGTTATAGCTGAAGGTATCCAAAAATTCTGAACAGAAGAGTCTACTGCTGTATTGTTAAGTTGACCAAATTGTCAACCTAATCAATACAGAAAGACTAGGAGGATATTGAGGAGTTACAGCAGGTTTCTGGTGACAACCTTACCAACAAGGAATTCACATAGAACTGGAAAATAGTGATTATGAAAACGAAGAACCCAAAAAATTTCACTACAGATTTCTTTAGTAAAAGTCTGATAATGATAAATGAAATCGTTGATCAAATTGTAGCGAATGATCCAGATTTTGAAAGGAGTGAAAAAGCAAAACAAAGCATTTCGGATGCAATCTTCCACTACTGACATTTGCTTAAGGATAAAAAAAAAAGCAACAAATGAAACTACACAACTTTATGGCAAAAAACCAGGACCTTCTTCACAAAAATAACACAAACATGTGAAGTTCATCTAAATATATAAAATCACTTGTCCTGACTGACTGATTCATTGTCGCCCAGAGCAAACCACTGAACCTAGAGGTGAAATTTGGTACGCAGTCAGGGTACGTCATGAAAATGCACACTAAGGGATTTTTCGAAATTCTCCCACTGGGGAGAGCACTAAGTCTTAGTACAGTAGAAGCCGTTCTTCCGGTTAAGACTTAATGCTCCCCCGCAGGGGAATTTCGAAAAATTCCTTCTTAATGTGCATTCTCATGGCATACCCTACTACAATGCAGATAAAAACAAAAAATCGCATAACCAGAAGAACAGCTTCTACTGTACTATCTTAGATGCGATATTTTGTTATCATCTTCATTGTAGTAGGGTATGCCATGAGAATGCACATTAATTAAGAAGGAATTTTTTGAATTGATAACATTTCGGACATTGTTATAAATATTTTCATATATTTTGATTTTTTAACCAATATTCAATCTGTTTTAAATTCGAACTTGTTATTGCATATTGGTTTGATTATAGAATGATTGTTAACGTTCCAGAAAACAGTTCATTTGATTCTCAGCGGTAGGTGTTATATAACAATTACTATGGTTGTTGAAATACTGCCTGCGGTGGTTTTACAAGCAAACCATATTTATATTCAAAGTCATGGGTAGCAGCTACTTCTAACATATTTTTATATTAATTTGCATAATAATATAACTTAAAATTTGTTTATTTTTGGTTGCGTGTTCCCCTATCCCTATTTACTCTATGTTAAAATGACCTCATTTAACACTGTTTCATTTAGTGCTTTGTCATCTAGGAACATGTCCCCGCATTAAGCGGGGTCTTACTGTACTTTGAACAAATGTTAAAATAAAGTATTAAGGTATATTGATGAAACATGAAATTATAAACTAAAGTATAAGTTAGGAGTTCATGGAAAACTTTTTGACTATAAATTTCCAAGCTGATGATATCCTTCTGCATCCCTTGCATTTATGCATGCCTCTTCCAGTTTGCTCTTGTAAATTAGAATTTTCTCAGCACTCCTTGCCGATGTTGGGAAGCTCAAGGGTTTGACAATATCCGCTTTATCCCAATTTACTATCAAGCGTTTGGTCTATACCATCTGGGAAAGTACTGTTGTGTTGAAATCTTTTCTGACATTACTTGTGTTCTTTAAGCCTTACTCCCAAATTCCTTGTTGTGAAATGAATATATTCTTTCTTGATTCCTAGTTTTACTTTTTCATAAGGAATCTTGTATACCCCTACTTTTTCTTCTTTTTTAATCTTATCTTTGTCATTCCTTAAAATTGAAGAATGGTTCTGAAAGAGCTCCAAACCTATATACAATATAGTATGGAATATAGGAGTGTGAAGAGGAGAAGATCAAGAGAATTAACTTTGATTGCAAATAATTTGGGAAGATCTTGTTTGTCAATATCAAAATATCTCAATAATAAGGATAGAAGAATGGGAAAACGAGATGGTCCGACATGCGAGTTTGATGCCAGCGTGAGAATGATTTGCACTGCAAGGAGTGACTACAGTAGAGCGTCGTAACATCTGTTATCTGAAAGAATTCCAGTCGACAAATTTAAATTTTTGCCAGTGCTGTGGTGCTGCAATCTTTGGCTGTGTCTTCAGCTACTCAAATATTTTACGTTTTTGATACTAAATTAACTTCTGAAGTATAATTTTTTATTGTTTTTATATTTTTCANGCTATGTCTTGGGCTACTCAAATATTTTACGTTTTTGATACTAAATTAACTTCTGAAGTATAATTTTTTATTGTTTTTATATTTTTCAATATATTTATTTTGTTTGTACAAAATAAAAAAATAATTTTAACAATACAATTGTCTTCGTTAGGCTTAACATCGACGAAAATTCAACGCGAAGCGACACGCAACAGAGAAAAATTTCAACACGGGATAAATTCATATATTTTTTCGTACATGATTGGTTATCCGAAAAATAAGTTATCCGAACAACCCGTCCCCAATTGATTCGGATAAATGACGCTCTACTGTATTTCAAAAATTGAAGGCATATTGATAGTATGCAATGCTTCCTTTGTCAAAATGAAGACTGATGATCAGTTTGCATTTTTCCTCAAACAACTTAAAAAGAGAAGAAGAACAAAAAATAAAAAAAGTATTTTCTTGGATGAGAAAAAGTGGAATATTGAAGGTCTGACAATTTTAAGTATCAATATTAGTGAGGTTGAGGCCGAAGTTTTAAACGCGAAAATGTATACGTCGGACATTCAGCGCTGCTTTCCTGTAAGCCTAGAAGTTTGACAATGGTGTTTGGAATGTCGAGTATGATTCCACTGACTATCCAAACACTATTGTCAAACTTCTACGCTTACAGGAAAGTGGAGCTGAACGTCCGATGTACATGTTTTCACGTTTAAAACTTCGGCCTCAACCTTGCTATTATCAGGCAGACGATACTCAAGGAAAGAATGGAACTATCAGAGTTGAAAATTCTTCTCTATTTCTTCCAAACCCTAGTATTTACCAGAGGTCAAAATAACTCAAATTTATCAGAAGTTCATTTGCAAAGTGGCTCCAAACTCACAAAGAATTGCCGAAGAGGACTCCAAATTTGTGCAGGATGATGAAAGCATTTTAAGATCGACATTATCCTTTTTCAGAGTGAGAACGTCTGACATTTTGACCAGCCACCACTCTGTTCAGTTTTAAACCCCATCAAAAATCTTTGGGCAAATTTGGTTTCCAAATTTATAACAGTATAAAGCAATACAGACTAAAGGCAGCTCTTGTGGAAGCATGGGAAACTATTCAATAACTACAATCTTTGGTAAATTTGTCTAATTGTTAGGATGTCCAACCATTAAATGATCAATTTTTGATAATAGTATCTAGTTCTTTTGTTTTATTATGAGTTTGGAGTAAAATTATAATTATAGTTGGTATTTTACTATAAAAAGTATTAGCAAATTTCATAAAATTTCCATGAAAATAATAATGAGTTTCCAGGCAATTGTTGGATAGACTATAAATCAGAGTGGAAAGTCAGACATTGCAAATGGGATTTCTAGTGGTAAACAGCAATACTTGCTTGGAAAAGAGCAGTAGCCATTAATAAACATTGACAAGAAATTATTAACTAGGCAATGCCTTCTATTTGCCAAGACTACAACAGAAAGGTTTGTCTGTTCTTACCTTGTCTCGCAGTATATTCAGAGTCTTCTATGATTCTGGCCAGGCCAAAATCTGCTACTTTGACAATGTTGTTTTCTCCCACTAAAATATTTCTGGCAGCCAGATCTCTGTGAATCAACTGTTTGCATTCTAAGTAAGCCATTCCACTGGCAATCTGACCACAAGTAAACAAACGAGATAAGGATACGGTAATTGAGGAGTTCTGGAATTGAGTTGTCGACTCACCTGTGAAGCCATGTCGATCAACGCCGGTAATTTCAGATGCTTGCCTTCTCGATTTCTCAGGTAGTCCAACAGACTTCCATTGCACATGTATTCAGTGACAATGTAGATTGGTTCTTCTTTTGAACACACTGCGTACAGTGAGACTAGTTTTTCGTGTCTGAACTTTTTCATGATGGATGCTTCTTGGAGGAATGCTGCCGGATCCATGGTACCCGGTTTAAGTGTTTTAATGGCCACTTCAGTTGTTCCTTTCCACATTCCTATAAGAAATAAAAGGAATATTTCCATTTATAAAACAATAAATGCTACATGGAAAATATCCTGTGGCATTTTAAATAAATAACAATTATGCAAATTTAAAATTAACAATATTACTTATGTGACCTCTAGAAATTTCATTCTATTTTTTTGCACTAAATTCTAGAATGGGGTAGTGTGTATATAGTAAAATCTGCTGCCTAAATAGAAAAACTTCAAAATGGGGCAATTTTACCATAAGCTAAAAACCTGTTTAATGCAGAAGCAGATGATGTTTACGAGTACAAAGGATGTAACTTGATGAAGTAGAAAATTAAGATTTCACTTGTGTGGACAAATAAGTAAAATTGCCTCTAGGTATGATGGAATACAGCAACCAAGAATAAATTTGAATCTTTTTGGAAAAACAAAGTTCATGTATTGAAAAGACCTACAGATAGGAATTCTTTGTTAGATTTAACTGAGACCAGAACTGAATACTTTTAATTAAGATTACAAAACTTTTGCAAATTGAATGAGTTTCCAAGAACAGAGTTCTTGAGAACAAGCAATGAAAGTAATTTGTTTAAAATAACAAGAATAAGGTAATGCATGTTGCCAATTTGTCTAGTAAAGACTAGTAGTTACTTACTAGCTATTCCAGAGTATTTAGAATAGTTGATTAACATTGTCAGTAATTACAGGGATTAACATTAATGATTAATTAGAATTTTAAAATTCCTTGAGAAGTTGGATCACAATAACTTAATCCCTGTATACCTGTGATTTCATATGGCAGAGAAAGATGCTAGTTCTTGGAACTTAAATTGGCTCACTTGCCATTGTGCACGCTCACAATGATAACATCCAACAACTATTCAAATATTTGGCACAAATTCTTGAGAATGACAAAGACCTTTTTGCAATCAAATATGTCCATTTTTGGTTGGAATTGTTTTGGATTAAACTTAATATGCTAAACACTTCTAATTTGGCCATTGGGCTTTTGCAGAGGGCTGTCAAATTAACAATAGTATGTAGGCCTAAAGGGAAGAAATAATACAACTTGTTGCCAGGTGGTCCAATAATACAGCAAGCTGACATGCAATACCAAATACAGAAACAAAACCCACATAAATATGAAAATAGAATAATTTGACAAAACTGGAGAAATAACCAAATATGCCATTGAAAAATTTCAACACCATATGTATCCCAGAAGGACATACAGATAAGATGGATTGAGACTAAGATCATTAAGCCTGCCAGGAGCCCTAATTCTATAAAGTTCTTGGAATTATTAGAAATTTTTTAAAGCTAGTAGAAAACACTTTTGTATCAATCATAGAAATGATGAATTTCCAAATCATTGCTAGCGTGTCATGTACAAGTTTTAACTTGGGCTTGGTCCCGTGATAATTGTTTATTTTTATTTATTTATTTCTTATATCCCTTATATTTGAATTGTATGAATGTTCTATTGATTTAAATGAAAAAAGAATAAAAAGAACATTCTAAGTTTGATGTTCTAAGTAAAGAAAGCCTATGGAAGTAGGTTGAAAACATTTTTGATTAATTAAATATATTGTTGGAGTATAGTTTTTCATTTGGAAAACAGTATATGACGACTAATATTTTTATGGAAGTGAAAGTATCTGTCATACCCCCAAATATGATTAATATTCAATTAAGAAACTGGATTAGCAAGAATATACTGTAATCAAATTTTTTTGTTTTGGATTGCCAGATAAATTTATTCACTTTTTCTAATGTTTTTTGAATTAACACAAAAAATATTTTTGTTATAGTGTTTTGTAGCTCTGTTCTTCCTCTACAACTTTTGTTTATCATTTTTGAAATTTCATTCAGTTTTACCTCTTTCCAGACATATGATGTGGAGTACCAAGTAGACAAAAGCAGGTATTGAAAATGCTCATTTTTATTTGCTATCAATCAAGATTCCAAAGCCGCTTGAGACATTTGTGCTGTGTACAAAGATGTTACTACTGAAAGAACTTAACAAAAATGATTTTCACACTTCAAGGAGAGGAAATTTGACCTCACAAACTTTCTACATTCTGACTAACCTGTTCAGTTCAATGAGCATCAGTTGAATGAGCTCATCCATGAGTATCTGTGCCAATCCACTAATGAATTGGGCATCATAAAAGCATCCCATCTGCTGAACCATCACTCTCACTCAACAGGTAAGGTCCAAAAACTTCATGCATGAGTGCTGGATGAACTCCAATGCTCCGCTGTTGTGCCTGTTTGCTTGCTCGACACCAAGCCACTTGTGGAAATAGATTTCTTTCCTGCATTGTCACTGGCAATAAAAAATGGGGTCTTCACATCAATATGAAGCAGAGGAAAGAATGGCTGAGTCCTGGCAACCAAGCAACACCTTGAACCACACCAGAGCTGCATCCAAACAAGACAATGATCTTGTTAGTGGGATTGGGAAAAACTAAACTACTACAAAATACTAAACTAATGCAAATCTTTACTTTCAGCAAATGAACCAGCTCAATGAAGTAATCTGGCCAAAACAACCTGACTGGCAACAAGAAGAGCTGCTTCAACATGACAACATTTGTCCCCATATTGCAAATTTGACCAAAACTGCTATTCAAGAGCTTGGCTACGAAGTTTTATCACATCTACCATATTCTCCCACTATGGCACCATCAAATTATCATCTTTTCTGGTCACACTCCAAGAGTCTGAGGTGTTTTGTTCAACAATGATGCAAAACCAAAAATATGGCTGAACTCAGGCATCAACAACAAAGGAGAATATGTTATTCACTGATTTGCTAAAACTGTTGATAAAAATAGAAAATAAATGGAAAAAAATGAATGATTTTATATGACAACTGAATATGTTCTAATCATTTTTTACAGTGAAATCACTTGAATAGGTTTTAATATTTTTTTAAAGTGTTTAATGTCACATAAAGTTAGTGTCAACTTGCACACATTTATATATAATAATAATGACTTAAATTTTAAGTCATTATTAATTCTTGTGTAATGTAAATTTGTTTCATGTCATGCATTAGAGCAAAGAATTTTTTTACTTGTGCATTTGTATGCCTGAAAATAAGCATTTAATGTCCTCCTTATGCAAACAATGTCGGTATAATTTGATTTTTTTGTGGAACAAAAATATTCTGAGAGAAAATTACAGAATGCAAATGGATGGGATATATAATTTTCTTTCCCAGTTCTATAATTCCTAAAAAAGTCTGAACAGTTGGCATTTGTTATTTCCCAACAATTAAATGTAATGGTAATGGGATCTCTTTTATCCTATATTTATTTTGTTGTTGAATAAAATTTTTGATTACCTCCTACTATACACTTGTTTTTATCAATTTATGGGTTTCTGTTGTGCTCTTACATAATAAATCAACACTAACCAACACTGGAGTGAAGTTATTTACATACCTCAAAGCCTGTTACCGATGTGAAACTAACAACGAAAAAACAGCTTTTCCACAAACATTTTTGAACCATCAATGGTTCTTCAGGTGAAGGCAAATTTCTGATAGAATGTAATTTTGTTAGTTTCACACCGGTAACAGGTTTTGAGTTACATAAATAACTTTTATGTAATACTTTTAAGTTTGCTTTATGCTCCATTATGCAAATTATAGTAATATCATCTCTAACACAAATATACACAAATTACTCCCCTTTATAACTTTGTTGATGTAACTTCTGTAAGTTTGTCTGTATACTCCCTGTACTGACATTTTCCAACCCAGGACAAAATTCATAATTTTATCTTAAAGATAACAAATATCCGGGTGGGACAGTAAAAACTCTCACCCAGATATTTGTTATCTTTAAGATAAAATTATGAATTTTGTCCTGGGTTGGAAAATGTCAGTACAGGGAGTATACAGACAAACTTACAGAAGTTACATCAACAAAGTTATAAAGGGGAGTAATTTGTGTATATTTGTGTTAGAGATGATATTACTATAATCAGTAAAAACTCTCACCTTTTGAAATTAAAACCCATGGCGACTCTTAATGTCTCACAAAAACAATAAAAGTTCTTTTCACGAAAAAGGAAAACAAAGGCTGGAATTAGAAGGGAGTATTTCAAAGTTCAGAGGAATTTTAGCCAATTGAGTTAAGTGTTAATAACGTCCTCTACCGCACCTGAAAGGTTTTGAATTGTTACCAGATGAGGGAAGACAAATCAGAATGTGGAATAGAGAAGAAAAACCCTTTAAAAACTCATGTTTCCAGGACAACTTTCTCTCTCCATGATTCATTCTTTGCTCCAAGATTTGTTTTCTCCGGGATCTACCAGAAAATGCTAGATCCAAGTTCCCTGTGTTGGGTGATTGAACGCCCAGCTGTGACAGAACACAGCATTCAGCTTCACATGCCTGTTCAGATCTGAACTTACCAACAAGTCCTGAGGCTGTTGTTCCTTTAGAAGGAAATCACCAAGGGACAGAGTGAATACATTCACTGCGACATTCGGACTTCCTTGGACTCTCTTTCAAACAGACCAATCAAAGGAAAATTGTAAAGGCACCTATAGCATAATTTTGTAAAAATTTTTTTATATTTATTAAGCAGGAAAAAGTAAAACTGTCTCAGTGTGTATTTATGCCCAGGCACGATTGTTTCAACCCCTCAACCATCCCAACAATCGCACACAGTCAGCAAACTTTACACATGTACCCTAGAGGGACATGCTTCTGAGGAGTACGTAAAAAAAATCATTATGAGGCAATTGTTCAGTTTTAAGCTCAGTTCTGGAAAACTGCATATATGACAGGTCAAAATAGCCAAGATTATTAACAATGTTATACAATAAAGATAATTATAGAAATCCAAAAATGCATTCAAAACTAGAATGAAACTAGGAAAGATACATAGAGTATTAAAATTTAAATAATGACTAATTTTGGACATTTTGGTAACAGAAATTTGGACATTGATCAACTCAAGGTTACATGAAATATTATGAAAGAAATGCAAAATGCTTGGTTGCTTTTTCTCACTCACTGGGGTTTTTTGTTCAAATCTAAAACTAAACACAAAATGACTATTTATTGACATTATGTATTGATAACAATCATTAACAATAAATAATGTTATGAGTGCAATTGTAGTCCTTTGTGGAAAAAAGCCAAGAATCCATAAACTTATTTCAAACAAGCAGCAATAAATTTTACACTAATTTATAATGATTAAACAAGTTAATTTCATCTTGATAAAGTAAAATGAAACTCAACCTATGAGAACCTTATTATATCCCAGTCAATACTGGAATATAATAAGGTTCTCGTGGGTTGATTATACTTTCCAGTGATTCTGAAAGAAGTTGTTTTAAGATGGAACTTTTATAATCATTATTCTTTAGATGTTTATCATAAATTTTTGTAAATAATACAATTTTGAATCCCATGGACCACTGTGAGTTTAATGGTCTGTGCAGTCAAAGATTGGCGACCGCTGGTCTAGAACAGTGATCTCTAAATTTTTTTGATTGCATACCGCTAAGACAAAAATAATTATATTATATTATATGGGGTACAACTTATAATATAATATAATATATATATTATAGTTGTGCATGTGTGTGAGGGGGGTCAAAAATCAAATTATTTATTATTTAATTATTTTAAACAACATACATACATTTAAATTAAATTACAAATTTACATTTTGAATTAGAATTTAATGTGAGCAATGCGATTGTATTTTTTTTTAGTAATACTGGAAAAAACTTGGCATACCCCACTTTGAAGACCACTGCTGGTCTAGAGCAATGGTTCCCAATTAGTGGTACGCATACCCCGGGGGTACGCGAAATTGCGTGAAGGGGTACGTTCGGCAATCTAAAATCGGCCGATTTAAAATTTAAATGTGTGAGATGAAGCAATCAAAAAAATAATGGGTGGACCATCAAAAATTCGGCAATTTACAACACAATGTCGAATGTGCAAATTCATTTATTTATAACTAAAAATATTCTCAGAAATGCATTTGTGACGATACCTAAATGAAATTCTTACGCAAGAAACAAAAATTGTACAATTAACACAAACTGTGTTAATTGTACAATTATCATTATCATCTTGTCGGCAACACGAAAACTAAACATCGTCATCGTCACCGACTTCGACTGTAAGATGACTCGAGGCTGAAGCTGACCAAAAAGCAACCAGATTTTACAAAGTTGTGCAAAGAAAATTGTGCACATTTGTCGCATTAAAATTAAATAACTATGTTATTTTCATTATTATTAGAATTGTATTTTAAAGGTAATAAATGTAAAAAAACTTATTCTATTTATCTCTAGCTGTCTACCCACGGCTTCGCCCGCACTATATCGAATTTGCTTGTGGGAGTAAGATAATTTCTCGCAGTAAAATGTAACTCGTGTCCATCTCCAATGTGTAAGCTATCTCTGTGCCAAATTCTATTAAAACCTGTTCGGCAGTTTAGACGCGAAAAGGTAACAAACAAACAGACAGAATTACCTTCGAATTTATAATATTAGTGTGGATTAATATGAATTTCTACTATAAGGGGTATGCGAGTTTGAGCTCTTTCTCGAAGTGGTACGCAGGAAAAACTAATTGGGAACCACTGGTCTAGAGCATAAAATTATAATCATTTGTATCTATATGGTTTTTGAATTATTATATAATTTATGTATTTTTTAGTTTAGTTTAAAAAAATTTAAATCAAATCTATAAATAATATTTGCAACTTTTACTTACCATGCCATACTTCACCAAAATTTCCACTTCCTAATTTTCTCATAAATTGAAGTGAAGCTCTAGGAATTTCCCATTCGTCTCTAGTTTCTGGAGATAAATCCCACATATGAGGTTTTGGTTTAGGGCATGGTATAGTAAGCTTGTGACATAAACCATTTGCTGCCTCTGAAATATATAAAAACATATACTGTACACATGTTTTTTATTTACAGTTCAATTATAACACACACCATGTTAATTTGGATTTTGCATAATCTAAACAATTTTTCTTTCAAAAATTCCTACAGTAATTTAAAATATCTTAATAATAGGAAAATTATAATTAATGAGTGCTTTCAAATCTTTGAGATATTGTGCATTATATTACTGTAGTTGGTAAGTTATAAGGACTATACATTACTTATACTGTGCTGTAATGAAACTTTTTGAGCTCATTTCCTGTAATAATAAATTTGGCACTATAATGTATTAAAGCTTAATAAAATTTCTGTATAGAGCTGATCATAATAAATGACTGTACCTTTATATCCACCTTCTCATTTTACACATTATCAGAGAAAACAACCTGATAACTCATAGTTTTGTAAACTCTGATCTTTGTCCAGTCATCCAGAGCAGTGTTTTTCAACTGCCGGTCAATGGACCGGTGCCAATCTGTGAAAAAATTTCACCAGTCTGCAGAAAAATATTTGACCATACCAATGCTGGTACAGTTGATTAAAGGTGATATTTAAATAATAATCTAGAGTTACTTAAATAGTTTTCATGTACAGTAACTGTAGATAAACATATATAAGCCTAATAAATAAGTATAATTCATAGTTGCATATAATTACAATTCATATAAAATTATTCATAATTTTATCTATCCGTGATGAGGAAAAGGTTGAAAAACACTGATCCAGAGCACCTTTAGAACATCAAAAAATGCTTTGAGTACTGTGTGGGTGTGTACAATGCAATTTTTTCCAAAACCGTCACGACACATACTTGTGGTCTATGTCACTGATTCCCACTTGCAGAAAAATTGTGACAGGAAATATAAAATGGAGAAAAATCTGTTTATACATCAATTTCATTTTCTGAAAATACAGAATTACCATTTAGTATAAACAGAAAGTTGAATAATGTGAAGTATTGCATGCCATTGCATTGAATGTCAGAATCTCAAGACAGATGCTAGTTTCGTGGATAACATATTGTATATTGGTTATGTAATATCTTGCATTCAATGGAACAAAATGAAAGAAACAGAAAAAAAAATAGATCCTTTGAGATGGTACCTTCAGAAATTTAAAAAACCTTTAGAACCTAAATAAAAGTCATGGATTATCTACACAAAACTACCATAAAACTGAAGTGACAATGAGCACATACAACTTGATTCACTACATTTATTTCTACATAAACAAAAGTTGTAAACAATATATTAGGGCTTATCATACAAAAGAAATGCTATATTTTAACCATTTATTTTAATTTTGTTACAATAACATTCTATCATTGAAAAATTACCATTGTTACCACCAATATTAACTAAAATGAATTTCAGTTCTCTCTTCAGTTAGTAACATTGTTACCTATAAAAACAATCTATTTTTTATAAAATAACTTTTATTTTAACAAGATATATGTGTACCTATTTAAATTACATTAGGAACATTTTAATTTCTTTTTGCTATTTCTGCTTCTTTTTTAACAGTCACACAATTAAGTATTATATCAATTTTTTCATATAAGTTCTCATAAATATACTCTAATGTATTGTTTACAATTGTTTTGTTTATGAAAAATAATTGAGATAAATAATAATAATAATAACTCTCCTGTGGTCACCACCTGGTTGTGGTGGGAGAGCCCAGTAATTTTACTGATCCATAGGGCAATGCAGGCTGGAGCACAAGCTCCTGGTAGGGACACCCATGCCAGTAAGGTCTATGGGGAGAAATGAAGCTAATGTGGACCACACCCACATTCTGTGGAGATATTTATCATGGTAGTAACCAGATCAAAGTGTGGTACCGGCTCGGACGTTGCCCGGGTTAACAAGGTCCACGTTCATGGGTTAGGCAGAGGCTCACGTTCAAAAAATAGGCCGCAGTCTCCCTTGGTTACCGGTGGCGAAAGCAGCGCCGGCTCAAGCATGGCTACTGCAATCCCCTCAACAGATGTGAGGAATCAACCTAGTCTTGGTGTTTCTGTGGCAATGCATCCACAGACCACAAAGGCTGGAAAACCATGCCAACGGATGAAAGGGACATCAGAAATGAACGAGTTTATCATCCGTACTTACTACGCAATCACAAAACTCGATACAAACATGACAGCATACGAGGGCTGTTCGGAAAGTTCGCGGCCTCACATAGAAAAACAAACAAAATAATGTTAAAACTTTTTTATTTTTCAATGTAATCTCCTCTGTTAGCAATGCACTTATTCCAGCGATATTCTAGCATTTTTATGCCATCACAATAGGTCGATTTGTCAAGGTGTGCAAAATACTCGTTCACTTCAGAGATGACTTCGTCATTTGAGTGGAATCTCTTTCCAGCCAAGAATTTTTTTAGGTTTGGAAAAAGGTGGAAGTCACTGGGGGCCAAATCAGGTGAGTACGGTGGATGTGGAACTAATTGGAAGCGAAGTTCGTTTATCTTTTGTTC